GAAATGCAAATCACAGCCACGGTGAAATGTCACGTCGCACCTACTCAGTATGTATATAATCAAAAAGGCAGATAATAACAAGCATTTGTGCAGAAGTGGAGAAATTAAAACCCTTATACACTGCTGGGGGGAATGTAAAATTATGGAGCTGCTTTGAAAAACAGTCTAGCAGTTCCTTAAAAGGTTAAACATAGAAATATATATGTCCCAGCAATTCCACTCCTAGGTCTATACCCAGAGGAAATGAAAACATACATACACACAAAAACTTGTATAAGATGTTCACAGCAGCATTACTCATAATAGTCAAAAGCATGGAATCAATCCAAATGTGCATCAACTGATGAATGGATCAATAAAAGGTGGTATATTCATATAATGGAATATTATCTGGCTATAGAAGGGAATGAAGTACTGATAACAAACTACAACATGGATGAACCCGTATATAATCTGCTAAGTGAAAGAAGCCAGTCACAAAAGACCACATATTTTATGATTCCAAAATCTTCAGAGACAGAAAGTAGATTCGTGGTTGCCTGGGGCTGGGCGTACAGTATGAGTAACGACTGCTATTGAGTCCCTGATTTATTTGGGGGTGATGAAAATGTTCTAAAATTAGATTGCGGTGACAGTTGCAGAACTCTCTAAAAATTGTTGAGTTGTACACTTTAATTTTCTGGTATGTGAATTATATCTCAAAAAGATCATTTAAAAAAGAAAAAATCAAACTCACTTGAGTTCCACAGAAGACTTGCCTAATCGGTCACTGCGAGCCACAGAATCATGATAACCACCTGAGAGAGGAGAGAATCTTCACTACAGACAGTGATCTCTCCCCACCCCCTGCCATCCCACCTCTCCTCCCAGACTCCAACGCCAGAAAGGAGCAGAGGGCAGCAGAGGCCACAAGTACCCCACCCCACTTGCAATCCCCTGGAATTTTGTGCTTGGGGGGCACACCCTGGGGGCACTTTGGGAGCATTTGAAGGGCAGGGTCGGGGGTCCTAGGTGCCCTGCCATTTTGGGGACAGTCCTGCACAAGAAATAAGTGTCCTTTGTCCCACATGGTTTTAGAATGTCCCAGTGGACATTCATGTAGATAAAAGACCTGGATATGATCATCTGAACCTAGAAGCAAACTCCATTTTAAACAAAGTAGTTTTTACATGGTTTTAATGTACACTGCATTTCCAGAAATTCAACTACTATGTAAATCAAAGGAAGGTTGGGCTTCCTTTTATTTAGAACTTTTCCAGGAGTTGTTCACCATTGCAGAAAACCAGGTCCCTAATGACATGGCCACTAGCGGTATTTGAGTCTCTGATAAAAACCCCGGTATCCATCTGCGTTTGTACCCAAGCCCATTCATGGTGCAAAGAGCTGACAGCAGTACTTCAAGATGTCTTCTGGGGACAGTCATTCCCAAGTATTTACATGTTGAGATAATACCCTTCCCAAATTCATACTCTGAAGTCCTAAACCCCCAGTACCTCAGGATGTGACTGCATTTGGAGACAGGACCTTTAAAGATGAAAGGGTGGGACGCTAATCCAATAGGATTGGTGTCCATATAAGAAGAGAGGGAGACACCAGGGACAGAGGAAAGGCCATGTGAGGACACAGAGAAGGTAGCTGTCTTCAAGCCAAGGAGAAAGGCCTTACCAAAGATCAACCCTGTAGGCACCTTGACCTTGGACTTCCAGCCTCCAGAACTGTGAGAAAATAAATGTCTGTTGTTGAAGCCACACAGCCTGTGGTTATGGCAGCCTTAGCAGGCTAGTTTACCCCCCACACACATGAGCTGTGACTATATGTCTACCGAGATATGTCAACACTGTTGGTACCTCAGTGGGGCAGGGAATAAATACCCTCACCTCTCTCCTTTTGCTGTGGCCTTTGTATCAGTGCCTCCTATTGGCCTAATGCAACAGGAACCCCTGGTGGATACAGTCTGTGGAGGTTACCTCTCTGGGCCCAGAGCAGGCCATAGGAGCATGGAGAATACATGGGGGAGAAGGGACAATCAATATATATTGATTTAAAAAAATTTTATATGTAGATAAGTTATACTACATATGAATTCTATTTCAACATAGTAAACCAGCTATTAACCACATAATTGTTATTACAAGGAGCGTTGGGTCTGTTTAGAGTTGAAAACCACTGCCTATAGCCACCAGTGCCTCTAGGGAGGAGGGGAAACAGGTTTTGAATAGACACTAGTTTAAAAATGAAAAAGACTATGTCTTAAATACTGTGTCCTATACTGTGAAGTGAAGGAGTTGTAACCACAAAAATGACAGGCAAGTTAAAGAATCTGAACAAGATATCCTTAAGGGACACAATTCCCAATGGGAAAGATGGATTTAATTAACCCAATAACTGTAAGGGGACAATTATATTCTTAATGTATCAGTTACACCGAATTGCATGTATAATTTTTTTTAAAAAGCAATAAAGCAGTCTCTCTGGGCTTAGTAACGCACATACATTATATTTAATATTATTAAATCATGTATAATTATAATTTGGAGGGTAAAGTAACGTACCTTAAGAGGTTAACCCAATTCTAGCAGACTGAAAAAAATAAGGCTTTTTCTGATCATAGAAGTAAACGTATACAAAGATGCAAAATGAGTGAAGTAGTCCCACCAATAAACCCACCTTTGGTGACAACTCAGGAGCCCTCTGATTTCTCACGGCTCTTTGCTGCCTTCTCTTTGCTAAAGCCCTTCCTCCTCTTCATTCTTTGGGAATGAAGATCCCAAAGGAGTGGATCTTCATTCGTCACCTAAATAACCCACAACAAATGATAGTGATTCCTGGTCTGTTCTTCATCCAGACTGTGAGCTCCCTAAGGCAAGGACTGTGCTGTGAAGTGCTTTATATCTCCTCCAGTTTCTGGTGGACACATAGTAAGGGCTAAATATCTTCTTCGGTTGGTGGTGTGATTCATTTTCCAATTTGTAGGGGTTGAACCAGCGATTTTCAAACTTTGAGTACATTATGATCACCTGGAGAGCTTTCCAAAAACACTGATGCTCGACCCCCTCTCCTAGAGATTCTGATTCATTGGTCTGCGGACACCCAGGTGATTCTAAAATGCAGCTGAGTGTTGACAAACTGGTTCTAGTTCAAGGTTTCTCCATCTTGCCACTATTGATTTTGGGGACTGAATTATTCTTTGTTGGGGAAAAGGAAGGGCTGTACACAGTAGGATGTTTAGCAGCAGCCTTGGCCTCTACTTGTGAGATGCCAGTAGCACCCTCACTTCAGTTGTAACAGATAAAAAAAAACGTCTCCAGACGTTGCCAGAAGTCCCCCAAGGGCAAAATCGCCCCACTTAGAAACACTGGTCTAGTTGCTCTGCATATTGCTTTAAGAGTCTAGGTTTGAAAGCCCATAATTTTGTTTTCTGTGTCTTTTCTGACAGGAAGCTGCATCACTGTGTCTGGGTAAAGCACTAGGCTGGTGTCTGAAGGTGGACCTGAGCTTCAGCCACTTAACCTCAGTGCAATCCAGGCAGCTCTCTTCATTCCCAGGTAAGTCTCTCATCAGAGGGCTATGGAAGAGATCAGAGGAGTTGATCTTTATATTTCCTTCCAGCTCTGATGCTTTGTCTTTGCTGCTTTACCTAGCAACCAGTTGGAAATGGAGTGTGTTTTATATTTAATACATTTACTGAAAAGAATTTTATATTTCCCATTTAATTAAGAAAAAGTAGATTAAATTGCTTTATGGTTATGACTTTACTGATTCCCCACTCCACCTCCTGTAGCAATCTCCCAGGAGACATACGAAAAGTAAGGCATGACATTGTTTTCATTCCTAAGTTACATAACCAATTTCAGTGTGGAATATGATTTAAACAGACAGGAAGAAACACAGCCTTTTTATGAGAGGAATTTAAAAGTGGAGATGATGGATTTAACTTTCAAAAAGTGTCTGTAGGAAATTTAAAAGGTGAAAGTTATTTTTAGAAACTGTAATGCTAGTATTAAATGAAGTTAAATGAACTATTTCCTCTTTGGGGTGTGTGATTTCAAATGAATCTGTGATAATTTAAAGAGACTCCTGTGTAACTACCTGCAAGGAGGCAGAGTACAATTGGAGGAAGGCGGGGTTAGGCACTTAGGTCTCTAAATCACTCTCCGAAGCCCAAAACTTTTAGAATCCAATCCAGATGCTTCTCACCCCTCCACTACTACTGCCTGGATTCATGTAATTGCCTCTTATTCCTTGCTTCCATCTTTGACTCCCCTTCTCCATAATCTCTTTCCTACTAGGCGACCAGAGAATAGACTTGGTCCTGCCCACCCCACCACTTTACCATTTTACTCAGAGTAAAAACGAAATAGCTAGAGGATTCTACACGATCTGGCTTCTCACATATCTTTCTGACCTCATCCCCTGCCCTTTTCCTTTATTCACTCCTCTCCCTCCACATTGGACACCATTACAATTCCTAAACACACCAGGCACTTGGCACGTTCCAGTCTCAGGACTTTTGCACTTGCTCTTCCCTCTCGCAAGGATGCTCTGCCCCCAGATAGCATAGGGTAACTCCTTTTATTTCCTTCAGGTCTTGGTAAGAAGTTACCTGCTTAATGCAGCCACCCTGACCACCCTATTTAATACCGTAACCTGCCGCCCACATACTGACTCGTCATTCCCTAAGTTCTGCTCCTCTTTTGTTCCCATAGTACTCATCACCTTCGAACACACTATATAATTTACTTATAACGTCTGTTCTCGTGTCCATTTCCCTCCACCAGAATGTAAGCTCCATGAGGGCAGAGTTCTTTGTTTTCTTCTCTCATGTTTTCCAAGCAACTAGGACAATGCCTGGAACATAATAGGTGCTCCAAAAACTATTTGAATGAATGAATGAATGAATGAATGAACCATGAACTGTGAAACCTGAACTTGGGCAAGTTGCTTAACTTCTCTGAGTCTCTGTCTCATGACTGTTAAATGGAGTTGATGAGTTGCTGTATTTACCTAGTAGAGTCATGTGTGAATCAAATGAGTTCTTACCTGAAAGGACTTAGCACAGTGCCTGGCATACAGAGAGTCCTCAGTAAATATTGGCTGTTCTTATTGTTATTATTAACCTGTTCCCCAAGATCAAAATCGGGGTGTAGTGTGTGCTGACGAATGAATGCGCTCCTGGTTGCATGACTTAATAAGCAATGCGTCTGAGGCAAGGGCTGAACTATGAGAATGGGCAAGGTGGAGCTGGAAAGGCAGGTCAGGTACAGGAAACGCACCTTGAAGGTAGCTCAGGGTGCTGCCCTGGTGCACTTCCTCCACTCCCCCAAGAGGTGTGTGGAGCTGATCTGTGGGCCCTAGGAGAGGATCTGTGTTTGGGGGAGTGTGTGGAGAATGATCATTAGCAAGATGAGAAGGGAAGGGCAGTGGAAGTGGGGAGATCATGTAAGAGGGGGTTGACTCATCTAGGAAGCAATAACGAGCCCTAGGGAAGACAACTGTGGTTGCAACAGATGGTAGAGACATTTTGGAGACAGAACCAACTCCTTCAAAGCAAACTCAGAAAGACAATCTACTTTTTATGCTCTATCAGGTAGCAAAAATACGATTAACATGAATGATGTGATTCTTACCTACTGTTAATTTCTAAACAGACTTTGATTTTTATTAACAGGCTTTGGGGCCTATTATTCAACAGAGAAGCAGACTGTTTTTCTCATGGGGAATGATTAGACTAGAAAAAAAAAATAAGGAAATTCTTTCCTTGCTAGGTAATAATAGAGAGATATAGCAAGCGTGGCCAAAATACAACATGAAGGAAAGCTCTGGAACCTGCTGTTGTGAAACAGTTCTTGTCAGACCTCAGTGAGTACTGTAGCAGTTTCTCTCAGAAGTTAAAACAGGAAATACACACCTGATTAAACTCCTTTAAGTTCGGATAGCTGCTGCTGCAGGTTTGAAAACCCTGGCATTTCAAAATCTCAATAAAGTGACTTTCGAAGCAACAGAAGGGCAAACCTTTGATAAGGCTGCAAGGTGAGATGCCAGAGATGAAGGTTCCTTTTATATTTATATTGGCCACCAATTGACAGCTTCTGCCCTTTAAACTTAATTGCCCGCTCTCTTTGGGACTAGGAGATTTCACAGTCTGTTGTCAGTCTTTGATGCTCAGGTGGTGTTAAATATTTTAAAAACCAACAAAACAAATTCCCCCGGACTCTAACACCTCTTTGCCCTGATGACGGCCCAGCCTCCTACTTTGTTTCCCTGCTCAGCTTCTCTTCCTTCCTAGCATCCTCTAGGATCGCAAAGTCAGGTCGCTGTTACTGATATTTTAAAGTGTTCCTCATCTCTTAGGAACCACATCTCCTGGGAACCAGATTTCTCAGAATTTTGAAAATTTCCTTGTTCAGGTCCCTAGGACACATCTGCAGGGCCCTCAGGCATACACGGGAGTGTTGATGAAATGCTTGAGGGCCGTTCTCTTGATTATTGCCGCCTCCAAGAGGAAATGGCTGTTTTCTTGCCCATTTTTCCCTAAGGGCCAAAACTGGGTCCCCAAGAGCAGTTTCCCTTGGGCTCTGAGATGAAATGGTCAGCAAACAAGGCTAACGTGTCCGTTGCTCCACTTCCAGCCCTGCAAGACTGCACATGGAGGTGATGCTGCTGGGGGAGGTGAGGCACCTGAGGAAGGAACCTCGATGAACTCAGGCACCTGTGGAGCACGCGGATCCTGCTGCATGCTTTCCTACGGGGCACTTAGAAACACTTCCATTTTTTGAAATCTTGCTTTCTTTGGGGTATTTCTCCATTTAATCCAGTGGTTCTCAAAGTGTAGTTCTGAGACCAGCAGCATCAGTATCACCTGGGAACAGGTAAGAAATGCACACTCTCAGGCCCCACCCAGGGCTTCTGAATCAGAAACTCAGGAGTGTGTTTTAACAAGCCCTCCAGGTAATTCTAGGGGTCAAGTGTGAGAACCATGTATCTGGCCTGCTGTTCTATTGGTGTGGTCCTCAAATTGCTTTGCTAATAATAGTTTAGAAAGTCGGCTTTGTGTTTCTGTGCATCTGAATTCGCCTCGTTGTAAGGGCTGTGGTTACTCTCTGACAGCCACAGCCTCCATGACAGGAGGGGGAGAGGGAGGCGAGTGCTGTGAAACAAACGCCTGGCGAGGAAATCTCAGACCTGCCAGAGTCTGCTTTGAATCTTCACACCTTTGAAAAGGGAGAGAACTCAACAACTGGGAAAAAAAATAAAACCCATTAAAGGGACACACAGCTGCTATTTGGAATCAGTAGCACAGCAAATTGAAGTGATAGCCATAAAACATTTTTACTTCTGACGAGAGAATCCCTTTAGGGCAGGTAATGATCTGTTAAATATCAAAGGAGCAGACCAAGGACCCTAGGACATTTAATAGGGAGAAGTGAGGTGGGGAGAGGGGGGAGGAGGTGAGCTCCGCCTTCAACAGGCCACAGCTTGGACCTGGGGAAGTCGACCAGGAACAGGACCAATGCAGAGAACCACGCAGAGGTGTGCGGGGATCCTTTTGATCATTAGAGCTGCCCGACAATGGGATGGCATCTTAGGGGCGATAGGGAGCCCCCTGGCTCCGGGAGCACGTAAGTCTAGGTGACCCTGTAACAGAGACGCCATAATAAAGGAAATTCTTGTATCAGGCAAGAAGCTGCACGAGGGTCAATATTTTGCAGATTTAAAAAAAATCAGAACTCTTTCTTCAAGTGAGATAGTACCCCTTGGTACTTAAATTTATAAAACAGATTAAACAGGGGCCTCTTTTGTGATCCCTGGGACACATCCTCTTTGGAACGTCCTAGGTGAGTACCAAAATCCCTTGCAATATGAGCTCCTCTGATTCTGTGGTTCTTTGACCTCTTTTCAAACCAGAACTTCTCTCTCTTCTCCCCAGGCTTCTCTTGAGCTGCCCACGAGCTTCCTTGGATGTGTGTCACCAAAAGAGCAATGGTTACAGAAGATGAGAAAAACCTAAGAGTGCATGCAGCCACACGCCTCACACGCCCCTCCCCAGGGATGGTGCTCAGTGAGGACTTTGCATGCTGAGGCTTGATTCCTAGTGGCATGCGAGGGCAGAGGCCCCGAGCAGGACACGCCTGTCTTTAGCCACCTTCAGTGCAGACAGGGAAAAAGGCAGGCAGACTAAAGCCTGAGCCAACAGGTAGACCTAAATGGAATGGGTTTTCCAAGCTGTGAGAGACCCACCTTGAAAGTGGCCCAGATGCTGTCTGGGCCTGCCCTGGTGGGGGTCTCAGAAGTGAAGAGGGGGCCTTCCTGAACTCTGAAGGGACCAAATGTGAGACGGACCCTGGACCCGTGGTAGGGAGGGCTGTCAGCCAGGGCCTTCCCTTCTCTGCCCAACATTGTTGGCTCTGAGTCTGTTTTTTTCCAACAGAACCAGATTTTTTGTCATAAAATTCTTGGACTACTTGAGCTTCTGGATTATAATGTCCTTTTTTTTTTTTTTTTTCCACAGTGATGATAGCTTTGGCCTCTCTTATAAACACCTAATGGGCAGAAATTTTCTCCTTCAGAAGAATAACAAAAAGAAAACACCAAGGAGCTTTCATTATAGTGCAGCTTCTTCTCTGGTTGATGAGAGGCATGACTGTGACCTGAAGCTGATTTTGTTTATTTGAAAGGAAAGACAATTGTTCATTCACTCAACAAACATTTACTAAACACATAGAGCTGCTGGGCTTCTGCTTGGCGTTGGGCATATTGTCAGCTCCAGCTCTGAAGGAACCATGAGGTGAGGGGATAAACATGGGAAAAATCACAGTTCAGGCATCCATGTACTGATACCAACTGGTTTACACAGGCTGAATAAAAGAAGAACAAAAAGCCTTCTAAGCAGACAATAGAGAATGTGTAAGCAGCATGAAGTCAGGGGTAGTGAAACCAAGACCCCTAAAACCGAGTTCCCCTGCTGAGTTTGATTAACCTCTCTGTCTAAAATTATTCCCTTTCTTGCTCCTTCTGACCTCAATCCTGGGCTAACTGAACACTAATCAACCAGAGTCAGATGACTAAAACTGCTGTTGTCGATAACATCGTTAACCTACAAACTCAGGTTTTTTCTCCAGGACAAGATGAGCTAACAGACCCCCAAGCCATGGACCACCTGGCCAGAGATAGTAAACCAGAGACATCCTGACTCCTGAAACTACGATTACGTTATTAACCCCAGCTTCTTTGTTCTTCCCCTTAAAAAACCCTCTAACTCAAAGACTGAGTGGGAGTGAATCTAAGGCGTGTCTCCCACTCCCTTGCTTGGCGCCCTGCAATAAACCCTCACTTTGCCGCTAACACACACTGTCAGGAGTTTGACTTTCTGCGCTGTGGATGCACAAGCCCTTCTTGCTTGGTTACAGAAGTATGGACCTGTCCTCCTGGGTGGAGAGGGGCATGAGAGGTGCTAGGGAGAGAGCAGCAGCAGGTGGCTTGGTGAGCTGGGCAAGGTAGGATCTGGTAGGGCACTGTCTGCTGAGCTAGGGAATTTGGACTTTATCTTAAGAGTGAGGAGGAACCATTGATGGATTCTAAGCAGAGGAGAGTCCTGACCACATCTGTACTTTAGAAAGATTTCTCTGTGAAAAGATAATGTCTAGGATTTGCATCCAAATGACCTCAGACCAAAATACAAAAATCCATTAATTGCAGGACTTTGTAATGGGAAACAGCCCACTTGTCTATCAAAAGGCTGGTTGAATAAAGAAGTACTAGGCAGCTGTAGAAGGGAATGAGGGATATCTCCACTTATGATATATTTCTGAGTAAAAAAGGAATGTGTGGGACTTCCCCGGTGGTCCAGTGGTTAAGACTCTGTGCTCCCAATGCAGGGGTCACAGACTCGATCCCTTGTCGGGGAACTTAGATCCTGCATGCCACACGGCCCGGCCAAAATAAATAAATAAAATAAAAGTAAATAAAACAGAGAAAATTAAAAACACCAAAAAGGAATGTGTGTATAGTATTTATCTAAGAAAGGCAGGGATACAAATATATAAACATACAAATGTATCTACTTATATTTAAAACAGACAAGCAGTGGATAAACCAATGAAAAGTGGTTACCTATAGGGGGAGGGAGAGTACAGTGTGGAGGAGATGGGGAGAAAAGCTGGACTTCTTTGAATAAAGCTCGGCTTGCGTATTTGACTTTGGAACCAAGTAAAAATTTCATGTAAAAAACCAAATTATAGGGCTTCCCTGGTGGCGCAGTGGTTGAGAGTCCGCCTGCTGATGCAGGGGACGCGGGTTCGTGCCCCGGTCCGGGAAGATCCCACATGCCGCGGAGCGGCTAGGCCCGTGAGCCATGGCTGCTAAGCCTGCGCGTCCGGAGCCTGTGCTCCGCAACGGGAGAGGCCACAACAGTGAGAGGCCTGCGTACCGCAAAAAAAATAAAATAAAAATAAAGAAAGAATTCCTAAAAGTAAAATGGAACAAATGAGCATAAGTGTGCATATGGTTAGTGGGGTAAACACACAGGGGAACTGTTCCAAACACAGTAATTTGACTGTACACCTATAGAGAGATATGACCTAAGGACAAAAAGGACTGCAAACAGACAATCTTAACTTGTTTTCAGCAATCATTTGGCTGGTGAGAGAATTGGTATTGGTGTTCTGAGACTGTTGTGTGTGCAATGTGGGATGAAGCCAATGAGAAATTATGTGAAATTCTAATTATATATTTCTTGCTGTCTTCTTTTTTGGCTGCGTTGGGTTTTCGTTGCTGAGCACGGGCTTTCTATAGTTGCAGCGAGCAGGGGCTACTCTTCGTTGCCATGGGCGGGCTTCTCATTGTGGTGGCTTCTCTTGTTGTGGAGCATGGGCTCTAGGCGTGCGGGCTTCAGTAGTTGCAGCATGTGGGCTCAGTTGTTGTGGCTCGCAGGCTCAGTAGTTGTGGCACACAGGCTTAGTTGCTCTGTGGCATGTGGGATCTTCCCGGACCAGGGATTGAACCTGTGTCCCCTGCATTGGCATTCTTAACCACTGCACCACCAGGGAAGTCCCTTTCTTGGTGTATTTGAGAAATGAGATTCTTAGCATGGAAGAAAGGAGATGCAGGTGGAAGAAATAAGAGGTTATGCAAAAGCCCCGTAGCCCTGAATTTGAGTTGAAAGTATCAGTACGAACTTATATGTTTTATCGTTAAGACTAACAGAAAACATTATTCCCTAGCTCTGATCTCTGAAAAGACCTAGGAATAGTAATCAGTCCTGTAGCAGTGAACACCCTCGGTGCCCAGATCTTAGTCTTGAAATTCCATTTCCCGACAAAAGACTAGGGCTCCATGAAGAAATGTTAATTCCAGGGCTGATATAGGAAATGAACATGAGGAGCCTATCATACCAGATGGGAAGGAAGTCCTCAAAGACGGCTAGGATAGTGTCAGAAGGACTCAGAAGTCAACTTGAAGAGGCTCCTTCTGGCCAAAGATGGACACTTTTAGCATCAATAACGGCAAAACTTCAATGGATTGAATACATCAAATATGTTTAATTCCATGAGCTCATAATGATACTAAAACAAATTTAGTTGGTCACTTTTGGAGTATGGTCATGAGCAAATTCATTATTTTGAAAATTAATAAAGACATATAATTATCTTTGAGCATTTATCTGTCTTTCCTATACAGGCTGTACTACCGGGTAACCAAATAGTAGATGAGGGGAAGTTTCTCTTTATAGAAGTAATTCAGTTCATAAACGAAGAAGGAATTATAGAATTGGAATATCACCATTTGGCAACTCCTAATTAATTAATGGGTAGTGACACTGGATCAGCAACATCTGCTAATATCACAAACAAAGACAACCAGATATCACATGGCTCCTGTGAAGTATTCTTGCCAAAAATTTCAACCTAAATCTAGATTCAAGTAGCAATTTACAGGAAATACATGGGACAGGAGAAAATATTAAAAGACACCATGGAGATGCAATCAGTAAAATCTATATTGTGGAAACCTCTATAGGATAAATGATCTAGTTTCCTTGCAAATAAATTGCAAGGAAAAAAAGAGAGGAGGAAACTGATATTTAAAAGAAACTTAAGGTAGACAACAAATGTATGGATACAAGGGGGAAAGGGGTGGGGTGAGAGGAATTGGAAGACTGGGATTGACACATATACATTATTGACACTATGTATAAAATAGACAACTGATGGGAACATTGCTGTATAGCACAGGGAATTCTACCTAATACACTGTGGTAACCTAAATGGGAGGGAAGTCCAAAAGGGAGGAGATATCTGTATGCATATGGCTGATTCATTTTGTTGGGCAGTGGAGGTTAACACAACATTGTAAAGCAACCATACTCCAATAAAAATTAATAAAAAGAAAAAAACTTAAGAAACATATCACCAATTACTGTGTACAGGACTTATTTATTTAGATTGAGATTCAAACAAACTAAAAAAATAAAATAAAAATTTTGTGACATTTAAAAACAGTTGGAAATTTGAAAGCTGGCTGGATATTTGATGACATTAACATTATTAATTGTTTTCAGGTGTGATGTTATGGTGGTTATGTTTTTCTCCAAGAATCCTTATCTTTTAGAAATATACACAGAAATAGTTACATATAAAATGCGATATCTGAGATTTGCTTTGGAATAATAGAGGAGGGGCAGGATGTGGGTGGGGATGGAGAAGGAACAAGTTTAGCCATGAGTTGACAATGACTCAGGTGGGTGATGGGGACATGAGAGTTCATTCTTCTATTCTACTTTTGGATACGTTTGAGATTTTCCACAATCAAATGTTTAAAAACATAAATACAAAGCCATGAAGCCGAAAAGAACGATCCCCGCAGCAACCTGTGAAAGATGGACTGGAGGGAATATTTAGGGGCGCTGACTTTCCTCTACCCTCTTCTCAAGACCCTTTTGCCTCTCCTTCTCTACTCCCACGCCTCATATTCCATAACAGCTTACAGAGAAACCCGAACGAACTTTTTGGCCAACCCCATAGAACAAGAGAACGGCTGATTGTACATCAACCTCACAAGAGAAGGCCTGGTTAGGCCTGCCCCCAATATTTGCAGGGCTCAAGCTAAGAGTACAAATGGAAGTCACATGCCATGGGACATCGAAATAATAAAAGTTATAAATCAAGCTAACAAATTGCTAAGTAAAATGTGTTTTATCCTCTTACCCTGGAAAATATATTTGCCTACAGACCTGGAACACCAGGTTTCAGTTAAACATTCTTGAATTCTGTGCTGGAACACGGAATCTGGAAAAGGAGTCCCTTTTTTCTCCCCCCCCCCCCCCGCCCCCAGCTTTGTCTCACGTTGTAAAGAATATTGTGTGCATGTGTGTATATATCCCAGGTCACATGTCCAAGCTCTGTCCACATCCTCCGCCAAAGCTGCCCCTTGGCCATCCTTTGGGCCTAGGGCTGCACACACCAACAGTTCAGTTTACACTTAGGGGGACAGAATTGTGAGGAAGAGGCCCTTGAAAGATTTGGGGCCATGTGGGCATGCTATTCCAGAGTCTCAGGGATCTGAAATTTGTTCTAGAAAGGAGACACAGCTCTGTGTGGTTACATCTCCTTGGTTCTGTTGACTCCTTATGCTGTGGAAAAGGGTATGGTTGAGGGAGGGCCATAGTGGGGCTCAGGGTCCATGAGTCCCCAGGGTGACACCAGTGATGGCTGGTGGGAGGATGGGAATTTTATCTCAGATGAAGCAAAATTTGGAGGCCCTTGGAGTTTTCAAAATCCCAATTTAAATACATGACTTTCACCTAAAGGATGATAGAAAGAGGATAATTTCCTTGGCCCCCAGCCCTAACCCCACAGCAAGATGACGAGCCACAGAGAAATCAAGGCCTATGGTTGGAGAGGGTGTCCTAGAAGACATCTTAAAAGGACTGATTTATCCTTTAGGATTAAAAACCTGACAGTTTGGAGTAACATTATAAATAATACAATTATTTTGGTTTGGGAAAAATACAAGATCAATTATACACATCTTACCTTCGAGAAAGTCACGGTGCTTATTGAAATTGAATTCATATCATGCCTCCAAGATGAAACTGGCATACTTTCCAAGACCGAACAGCAGGGGAAGTTGCCCCCCAAGGGTTGTTGGTATGGCTGGTCAGGTGGTTGTCTCTCAGGTTCATTTGAACAATCTTTGCTTTTCAGCCACCTAAAGTCCCACCCTCAGTGCTTGTTCCCTTGGCATTAGCAGCAATACTGTCAAACAGTAATCAGCATCCAGGCTGTAAAGAACAAAGAGCTTTATGGGGGTCTTAAGAATTGCAATTTTGGGGCTTCCCTGGTGGT